GAATCACAACCTTCACACAACCATATTCACCACAACCACCTCCACAAAGATCCACAGCCTCTACACAGCCACAGCCTCCACAGCCACATCCACACAGAACCACAGCCACAGTCACTGCCCACACACAAACCATAGCCACCGCACACAACTACAACCACAACCACAGCCCACACACAACCATAGCCACCACAACCACTTCCACACAAAGCCACACTTCCACACACAATCACAGCCCACACAGAATCAACACAACTGCACAACCACAACCCACAATCACAGCACCACAGCAAAACCACATCCACAGTCACAGCCTTCACAAACAACCACATCATTCACACACAACCACAGTCTAAATACAAAATCACAGCCACCACAACCACCTCCACACAGAACCACAACCTCCACACACAACCACAACCCACACAACCACACCCACCACAACCACCTCCACACAGAGCCACACCTCCACACACAACCACTACCCGCACAGAATCACACAACCCAACCCACAATCACAGCCACCAAAACACAGTCACAGCCTCCACACACAACAGCAGCCACCACAACCACCTCAACACAGAACCACAGCCTCCACACACACAATCACAGCCACCACAACCACTTCTACACAGAACCACAGCCTCCGCACACAACCACAGTCACCATAACCACCTCCACACAGAGCCACACCTCTAAACACAATCACAGCCACCACAACCACAACCCACACAACCAACACAGCACATAGAACTATATCTCTACACAGAGCCCCACCTCCACACACAAACACAACCATATCCACACCACACATACAACCACAGCAACCACCACCAGTAATCTACCACTAGCATCAACTGTCAACAATCCACCGACATTAATCATCATAGTAACCACCCAGTTCACAGTAAAGATCATCACCCCATCAGCAATAAAGAAATTCAACAGCAATGCAAAATCGCATGAATTGCAAAAATCAAAATCGCAGAAATTGCAAAATCTAACAGCAGTGCAGAACCATACGAGAATCATCGGCCGAATAGAGCTCAGAGCATTTAAAACCATCGCAAAAACAAAATGTCATAAAATATAATGGCAGAGAATGATGTGGCTCGAGAGAGAGCAAAAGAACCAAGCAGAGCGGAAGAGCAGAGGGGATAGAAAGAGCAAAGTAAACACCAAGCCTTGCCAACAGAATCACGAACCATGAATCGGAGAGGAGGCGAGCGGAGATCTTACCTTTAGGACAGAGAATCACGAGGGAGGGGAAAGCAGGCCGCAAGAGAGAAGCTCGGTCGCGAGAGGAGAAAAATGGGGTAGGACAGTAAAAGCAGAGGAAGAAGTTAATACGAAACGCGAGGCGCATGGTTGTCAAACGGGAAAAAAATGATATTTTCAGGTTGTGCCGCGTGAAAAATGCAGCGCCAAACAGACCCTAATCTTGAAGACTTTACATGTTATGTTAGAAAAAACACTTTTCCTAAACTTTTTTTTTTTTTTTTGCATTGTACTATAATCATCTTAGATTACTTATGAAATAATTATACTTCAAATGGGGTAGGTTTGCCAGTCAACTAATTGGTTATGTTGGATTGAAGACCTAATCTCACACACTAAGAAAGGCCTTAAAATCATACTTTTAAAACATGAACAGGTCAAATGGTTTGATTAGCTGTCTATGACCGACATAATTAGCCCAGTTAGGTTTGTATTGGCCAGTTTTGCAACAGGACAAAAAATTTTGCGTTCTAAAATATTAACTTTCTATAAACATGACTCATCTCAGGGTGGAAAGTGCACACATGGTATTTATAAAACCCCAAGCCATATTGCTCAGCTAGAGTATATAATCAGCACATACTAAGCCAACTAATGTTGACAAAGGATACATATTTAATATTTAACATTTCAAACAATATAAATTATGAAACATTGTATTTGATTACCTCTAAGCTGTAAATATCAAATAACTATATGGCTAGCAAAGTTATCAAGGAAATATTTTTTTTTGTAAACTCATGGGTAGATGAATAAAGACATGAATAACACAATAATGAATCATGTGTTCTAATATACTAATTTTCTATGAACGCATATAACACAAGAGGTCAAAAATCTAAGGGCACTAAGTGATAAGGTATCCTTTATCGTAGGGTGACAAATGCACGCATGGTATTTATAAAACCCCATGCCTTATTTCACAGCTAGAGTAAATAATCAGCACATACTAAGCCACTTGATGTTAACTAAGGATACATATTTAATATTTAACTAACATTTCAAAAAATACTAATTGTTCAACCTTGTATTTGATTACCTCTAGGGTCTAAATATCTAATAACTAAATGGCTATCAAAGTTATCAAGGAAATAATTTTTTTTCTAAACTCGCGAGTGCATGTGCAAATTTAATTGTCACAACGAACATATAACATCTAACTTTCCAATATGGAAATATGTATACATCTTACTAAGTTTGACATAATTTTAAAATATGGTTCAAATATATTTTTGAAACTAAGATGTTTTAGGTGATTTGTTAAAATTTTGGAATAAACATTACCTCTCTCTCTCTCTCTCTCTTTTTTATTTATTGATGCCTTCGTGGCCTACAAAGGTCAAGTTTGGGCAAGAAATTCAATGCTTGAATTATATTTTTTTAAGAAACAAAGGGTAGAACCAAAAGAAGCTTTGCTCTAGTCTTTGCTAATAATTAAGAGTTTAGATTCATAGGAAGTATAGAAGCACGGTCCAAGTCCCCACTAGCCAGACCCAAAACAACTATTTAAAATTTAATTTTTATTTTTTAAAAAAGCTTCAGCCACAATAACCAATCGTCCCAAACCCAACTGCCACGTAGTTCTCGTCCTATGCACTAATATGCTAAGCCCAATGTTAAATGTTGCCATGACTGCAACAGGTTCGAATAATTTTTCTTAAAGACACATTGCCCATCCTTTGTCCTCAATCTTCTTTGTTGATTGTATGATTCCGTATTGTAAAGTTATCTCTCTCTCTCTCACGTAAGCACGAGGAGAGAGAGGATTTTCATGGAGATACATTACTGATCTTATATGAATCACTACGACAGTTTTCTCTCACTAGTTTTGTCAAGCTTTCCAAGCTAAACAAACTAGGATTTGCTCGAGTTTCAGCCAATAGATTCAAGCAGCTGTAAGCATTCCTTGGACTATTGTTTTAAATTGGTTAACAGAAGCATTGTTTGTTTATTACAGATATTGTTGTTAATAAATTAAAAAAAAACACCATATTGTCTACTGTAGCAACGTCAGCTTACTGTCACAAACCAAAATACCTGAAACAGTATACTTCTTTCCTTTATTTAGTATTAATTTCAAGTCTATCTTCTAAAACATAGTAACAATAAGTTAAATAGGTTTTTCTAAAGTAGTGGCTTTGATATTTACGGATGTTTTTAGCATAAATTTCAATAAAGCACAGCTTGAGTTTGACAAAATTTCTCGGCAAATATTGTACTCTTTAGGTTAGAATTAATTGATGAACGAGCTTATACAACGCATGTTCTTCGCATTTGATAAGTTCGAATGCATGATATATAATTAATATGTCAGTATACAAAGAGAAATAATTAAAAGTAAAATATATGAATATTTATTATAATTTACTAACTTGTAAGACAATACTCAATTATTTCGAATTTTTTTACTAAACTTCTATTTAATTAGTTATAGAGATACTTCAAAAGAAAGCCTGAAACAGATGAACTCCGTGCACAAACTACTACTACTATTAGTGATAGTAATAATACAAATACCGAACAAATGTATGTAGAAATCAACCCCAATGATATTCCAGTAGATGTTGGATTAAGAAAAATATTCAAATTATATCTGAATGGCCATGCATGAACAGATTGGAGAGCTCAAACAAAATTAATATAGACTAACAAAGAACACTATTAATGTTTTGGTGCAGGTACTGGTAAAGCTTACTTTGATATTACCATTTGCTACATTTACAATTGAATAAGCATTTTTTGCTATGAAGATTTAAAGAGTCTTTTGCCCAATTAAATGAGAAACTCTTGAATAAATGATTGAAAAATATAGATATTGAAAATATTAGGTATGATAGTGTTGATAATGAAATAACTACACAATAATTTAACATATGATGACTCGAAGAGATAAACTGTTATACAATAAAAAATATAATACTTAGCGTGGCATTCAAATAATCATTTAACATTTTAAGGATATGAAATACACTCTCAATTGTAAATTTTTTTTATGAACATATGTTATCTTCGTATATGAAAAATAAAAATTTTTCTTCTTAAATTTCAGTCTCAAGCCAGTATAAAAAAATTAAGAGAACTTTTAAAAATGATTGTTTGTTCCTTCATTTAGAAAAATTACTAGCTCTACCACTGTTTAGATGCACAAAAAAGCTGCCAAACATGGCTTGTGGCACAATTTTCATGGCTATGATACTTCCCTTGTTGATGGTAATATTGTTACTTCCCATGTTGCTGGTAATATTATTTCATGTGACAAAAAGAAGCACATGTATTTAACACTTAAATGGATAATTATCAAACAACCCTTTTTGCAAGACATCAAATCTGACCAAGAAAAGTTATGCTACAAACCAAATATCCAGAAGAACAAGAAGGGTTTCAGAATTTAAACGAAAGAATAGTAAGCCCAATAAAGGTAGATAAAATTATGAGGATGTATTAAGTTTATGGGGGCCATAACAATGCGATTCGTTCTTCAAGTGAAAAAACAAGCAAGCAATGGTTTTTTTTTTCCCTCCCATCTCAAAGTCTGCAAAAAGAGATTTATTATGATTAATATAGTTTATATTTAAGAGATTAGTAAACAATTTCCAAAACCAGTTATCAACTGATACCCACAGAAAAGCAAGGAACTTGTTTATCCCCATGAAGCATTAAAAAAAAAAAGACGACACCAAATCATAAAAAATTGAGATATAATTTTTTGAGTGAAAAGAAGTCACCTCACCACCAAGAAGAGCACAATCTGACTGCTTGCATCCATCAACAATCCCCTTGATGACCTACAAGACAAAGCATGTTTCTCAGTTCAGCTCTTCAGTTTTTGCACTTTAGGATATGAAAACATAAAATGGATAAAAATCTGTCTGTTACCTTTTCAGCAAGATCAACATCAAGATGACTGGTTCCAAAATAATCAAGGAAGAATAATGGTTTAGCTCCAGAAGTAACTATGTCATTTACAGACATGGCCACCTACAACAAATCACTAAGGCAGAAACTTTAATATTTCTAAAAGATAACCAATATTATCCAATTTATATAACATGTCCTACCAAATCAATCCCAATAGTGTCATGGATTCCAGTCTCGAATGCAAGCTTGAGTTTTGTTCCAACACCATCAGTAGAAGCAACAAGGTAGGAGTCCCCTGCACAAGGAGAATATAGATCGGAGACCTAAAAAAATTGATGACTATCACATTTCTCATAACTTCAAATGAAAATTTTCAAATTTGCAATTGAAAATTTTGTTAGGATACCACCCAAAACTACTACAAGTACCTTTTCCAGCCCGGAAGTATCAATGGGATGCCTCCCAAATCACCTTTATCATAAAAAAAACATAGCACTAAGCTTATTTAACCCACAGGTTAACCATGATCGGGCAATCAGACCATTAACTTCATTTGTGCGGTCCATCCAAAGAGGGAGGGAAAAAAGAGACAAACTCTACCTTAAATCCTGTCGCAATCAGAGAAGGAGAAAGATAAACTAATGTTCAAATAATCATAACTAGTATCAACCATGGTGCCATGTTTCAAAGGATATGGACTTTGGAGGTATGCCAATAATAATTATAGTTGGGTTTAATAGGTAATTGTCCTAGCATTGCTTGCATACCAGTATAAGAGAATGAAGCAAGCCATTCAAATTTTCTCAATGCATATCATCAAGTATAAAGCTCCATACTCCCTACAGAATTCTGTGCATAGAATCTTAGAGCAAATCAACAGTTTTACCTGCCAAGGCAAAATCTGAACATTTGATCCGGGCTCTTCCAACAGTGGAAAACTACCCAAATCCATTGGTGAATCAAACAGGAGCACCAAGAAAGGTTAAACTAACCAAGAAGAGGTTTAGCCACTTAGAGCATGAAAATCATAAAAATCTATATGGATTGGCAAAGACGACAAAGAAGCAAGATCAAATCGATTAGATCTAGCCTACTTCAATGTGGCTGGACCAAATTGTACAAAAGCATGCCATTTATTACAATCATATTAAAATGGGAGCATAATAACTTACATAAAAGTCATAGAGCACAAATAACTAATTTTCTACCTCCGCTCTTCCATGTGACCACATTTACTGAAACAATAATGTTTTAATATTGCACAACTAGCAAAGCAATGGAAGTCTACATCAAATCTTAACCAAAAATCAATATTTTTAGTATTATTTAATATATCATGTGATCATCCTTATTTTCCTTTGCATGAGTTATTAGTACTTCAAAAGACATTTGTTAAGTCGGACTGCTTTGGCATTTTATATGTGTTATTGATTATATTGTCATTTTTAATAAGGTTTAATGGCTACAGAAAACTGACTAGTCTTCTGATTTAAATATCCAATGCTGTAATTGAACATAGTGTTGAATCCTATTTTATTTGTTTATGGGTTATGCCAATTCCTCACTAACTGAAATATCGGAAAATGGGCTTAGTAGAGAAGAGAAAATGAGACAAAATAAACTATGAAGCCCAAAAAATTTCCAATATAAAAGGAATGTGGGGCCAGACTCCAAAATCTTTAACTCTACCCAAGGTCCCTCGTTTATATAGGTAGGGATATGTGCCTAAACAACTTCAAATAAAAATACAACATGGGCTATACTATAAGAAAATGTGTAGAATAATATAAGAGGCATGTAGCCTGAGCAGAGATTAGAACTCGAACCACCAACCAATTGTCGAGCACAGGGATGTCACTTGTTCACCTAATGATACCGTCAAGTGGGTTTTATCACCTAGAATAACTATTGAGCATGGTTAAACCATTGACTAGGATGTGGCACGAAACGAGGCTAGACCAAAAAAAAGTGTAAAATATAAGAGGCATGTAGCCTTAGTAGAGATTAGAACTCGAGCTACTGACCAATTGTCGAGCATGTGGAAGTCGCTTGTTCACCTAATGATAGTTGTCGAATGTGTTTTATAGCCTAGAACAACTATGGAGCATGGTTAAACCATTGACTTAGAATGTGGTAATAAACCAGCTCCTTGTGAGCCTAATGGGTATGTTTTCCCTTATGAGTTGATGTCCAATCCACACTAACACTAGCAGGCATGTGCCTCGAATCCGGTTGGGCATGTTTCCTAGGGTGGCCAAATAGTGGAGCCATCTTGAGCTTCATCAGTGAGCTCCTCAGTAGATCTCGTTGAATAGTTGAACTTGCCTGGTAAGTTCACCCTAAATTTGACTCAACAGGCTCATCTTTGGCTTCTATTGACAAGCAATCCCTCAACGAATTTACCTTCAAGGGTTTAAAGATAGCTTTAATTTTCTTTATCTTATCTCCCTTCCTTTAGGGCATTCAATCTCTTACTTTCTTAATCCTATCACCACAGTTCTCTCTCTACATTGGATTACCCTTCAGTCACCGCCTAACAATTAAATCTCAAGAGCCCATTTCAATATCCGTTTTATCCTCCCTCATTGTCAAATAGTAACATAGCCAAAGTTCCAAAGTATATATTGAAGCGTATTCTAATCATGGCATCTCTCTCTTCTGCTCATTTTCTTATTCTCCACACTTTGAATGGCTTATTCAATCATAACCACAAATAACCACACCTTCGTCCAAACATCTTGTGTATCCATCAAACATGATCTCTCACCATTATTCTCTCAGCAACAATCTAGCGAATACCTATTCATACAGTACACACATGCAATCATTGATACACACTCATTCAATCACCACATTTGCATAGCACCATCACATCATGCCCGTATCACTCCTATAATCTAACACACAACGCATCATCCTCAAATCCCACTAGCAATTCCCTACAAAATAAAATTGCCCACTAAATAAATCGGTGTACTTGTCAATGGTGAATAATGCATCATAGCACAACTTTTTTGTGAAGCCACAATTTATAGCATGGCAGGCTATTTTTAAAATAGCATGAAACATTTAAAAAAATGAATAATTTATTAAAAATTCAATAAAAAAATTAAATAACCTAAATAAAATAAAGCACTAGCAGCATTACATAAATAAAATATGATTCGTCTTTAAAATGTTAATTGCATGTACCGAGAGCCCATAAAAATTTACTAGCATCATATAAATTTTACCAAACTATCATAGAGGTTTATGATATTATATAATTCAAGTGAAGGCCAATAGGTGGAAAGAGCATACAGGTTAAATAACAACTACAAGAAAAAACTTCGATCAACATGTAATAGACATGACTAAGTACTAATTCTTGATCTGAATAAATTAGTTGAAATAATGCTAATCTTATAGCAAAAAATTATGATCCACAACTTAACCTTCAAAAATCATCTTTCATCCAATGCATTAGTTCATACATTCAAGAGTTCAAGCTTAATCGCAACTGATAGATAAACAACAAAAAGGTAATGTAAATAGAGTATAAAGAGGGAGAGAAAGTCAATTAATAGATATCAAGCCATTTAGCAATCATAACTAATTAAAACCCAAAAGATATAGGGACGATCGTTATAGTACAAAAAAAGTACAATATGAAAAAGAGTATTTACCCTTTTCATGATAAAGAGAGAAAAATAAAAAACAAATAATGAATTCAAGAGTAGAAGCATCCCTAATAACTGCATACGCAATAAAGTAATGTCTTGTTCCTCATTCTTTAAGTTTCATCTGAAAGATTATCATACAACACTTGAGCTTATAAGTCCTTAAATGTAAATAAAGAAATACACTTCTACTTCTTACAAATCTATTATATTTTTAATTAGATAGTAGAACAAATATATTTGTATTAGAGTTGAAAATAGTAATAAAAGCAATCTCATTATGTTGAATTTAAGCTGTAAAAATTTTTATTATTCATACTAGTACTTCAAATAATCAATTAACAAAAAATAAAGAAATAAATTAGAAGAACAAAATGGCACACATCATATAAACCATGTGATCTAGCACATACGTAACACGCATAAGACATGCTATTTTGCGCTATAGAGCATTACCATGCAAATAGCTTCATAGGTGTGCTACACTAAGTTATAAGCTATATTGTGCACTTATTTACATTATTGACACATATGCACGTGTATATCAATGTCATGCATCATGCCAACACAACCATTGCATCATGCCAACACTCTCGCTCACCCCACATCTCCCGCAATATGTATAGCTTGATTGCATCTATTTCCGCATTGCATCTCCCTTGCATGTTTCGGAAATCGACATACAATACTTGCTAGCTCCTAACACTTCTTTGCAACACAATATCACACATGTAATGCTACAAATTTACATCGCCAAACCTCTATCATCTTTGCAACCCATGAACATATGATCATCTTAAATCTCATCTAAGAAAAAAAAGGCAAACTTCAAACCATCAATACTTCAAGTAGATAGGTTCATTCTAGTAGAATGTATAATTCGATATATCTTTCTAAAGTATCAATAATGTTCTAAGGAAAAAATGAAGAGAGGCTGCTACTAATATTATGGATGATAGTGATATTCATGATCTTCGTTTTTCCCCCATGGGATGCATTCTCCATTTTTCAACTCTTTTTTGGGATGGATGTCCCATTCATTACTTTTTCTTTGTAATTAATTTTGCCAGCTTAGTAATGCAATCGAGAATCTCCATTTTATCCTCCACCATTACCTCAACTCTCCTAAGTAGAATTCTTCATAGACAAAAGGAATTGATACTACAAAAAACTACATCAGCCATTATCTTTATCTTCTACCACCCTTTATCAAGCATTCATTCTTCCGATTTTTCCCTTATCCTAAACATAGTGTATCCGTTTATTTTTCATTTTCTTTCAAGTTTACTAGTAGACTTTCTTTTGAAATTATTTTACATGGAAATTCAAGTGCCATTTTGTTTTTCCGCAGATACTCTACATCTCTCTATCCAAGGTCAGCTAATAACATAACTCATGAAAAAATAATATTTTTAAAAGATGAATAAAAATACATTTCAAGCTTCGATCATTCTAGTTCCATTTATTGTTAACTCTAATAAATTATTTTTGAATGCTAAACATTCCTAGGTACAATTTCATTAACTTTTCTGAAATGTTTTAGTAAAAAATAGTTCAGTTCAATATTTCAATGGCCATCTGGCACAGCCTATAAGATTCAATAATTTTGTAAGCGCCAAGAAAAACTGCAGGAACAAAATAGGGAATAGTCAGAGGAAAACCTTTTGCAAATGCCTACTGGGATAACAGTATACTTCAAGGAGCCAATTTACTCCAACAGTCTAAATTCACAAAAAACTGTTTGTATAGTCATACTGGAAGTAAAAAGGGTACGAGAAAATGACTTCTGCATTAAATTCTAAGCATTTTATGCACCTAGCTTTGATCCCGCATTCAAAGATAAATCCAATAGAAACGATAATTAAAGAATTGAGACCAGATTGAACAAAAAAAGTTATAAAATCTTCGGGATGGACTTATCTTCTTCAATTGCTTCAACCTACCAATCCTCATAGTAGGCATTTTTTTTTTCCTTTACCTCTTTAAGTTGGGCAATTCCCACATATACATTTGCACTCCGTAGTCAAATTTAAAATTAAGAATCAATATATTCAAAAACACTAGATAGGTTAAATACGAAGTTCACATTCGATCAACAGCATAAAAATCAAATTTCAATGCATTTCCACAGAAATTTTCTAACTCGAATAATAGCTAAATATATAAGACGACTGACAATGAGTTGAGAAGTGGTGAAAGGTTATAGACTTACCCAAAGGATAAAGGCCACCGAATCCGCCAATTCCAGGTGTCATCTTGGCGATCCTTCGAACTAGCTCAGCACCGGCGTCAATGTCCACACCGGCTTCCTTATATGTAAGACCCTTCCGTCCACTGACGCTGCTAGAGCAAGAGATTCTAACACCGCTCATCTTAAGAATACTGCCTGGGAGCCTAAACCTATTCGCGGATCTGGCACCGAGGCCCAAAAGACTCGAGCAGGATGGTCTTTGAGACGTCACAGCTCCGCCGAGGAGGCGCTCAGCTGTCGCTGCTGCTGCTCCGGCGCTGGCGTTCATGGAGGAAGAACAGGTTGAGAAGGTTTTGGGCTCAGGGAAGGTAAAGGCGAAGAGATTGAGGTTCATGAATGACCTCCCCGACATAGCAATTGATCATTTAATTACCCCAGCCGACCCGGCCCGACGCATGTAAGTACTCGGCTCCTTTTAGTGCCCGAGTCCGATCAGAATAATTTCGTTCGACCAACTATTGCATCGAAAAAATATTGGCGGCTCATGCCAATTTATATTGAAAAGATTTATCAAATTCCTGAAATTTTATTTGTTCATGATGAAGGTAGAGCACGTGAGAAACAGTGACATTAGGATTTAATAAATTTGGATTTACATCGCAGAGGGGGCTAGACGTCGAGAAATAAATGAAATAAGAGAGAATTGGAGCTAACGGAGAGAACGATTTATTTTTTCCTCTCTTCGGTTTTTGCATGATTTAGGTGAAATCATGACTAAATCATTTTAAAAGTGTGCTATCAAATACCTCCATAAAGTATGTATTTATAAGGGTGGATGGTGGTCACATCATACATAAGTGAAATTATGGTGGCGTGGTCACTCCATACATCGTTACATCATATATAAGTAAATTATGGTGATGTGGTCACTACATCCATTGTTGTAATCACATACTTATAAAGTACGCAATATTTTCTCGGTTGCTTGAGACGTGGGTGGTTTGATATAGAGTGCATTATGTGGGTTTATTATTTGATTAAAATTTAAAAATCAAGTGAATCAAATATGTTTTGGTTTCAAAAAATATATTCCAATTTTAAATTTTTAAAATTTCCATTTTTCAATCTTTCATATTGATTCAGGGTAGGTTTGTTTCGATTATGGCTTTAGAAAATCTCAATTCAGAAGCTGTTGTTGAAAATCTATTGTTCAGAAGCTGTTGTTTCAAAAGCTGTTGATCTATTTGAAAATCACAGTTCTAAAAATATTGTCTGTGAACTAATGATTGTAATACCCCTCAGTATTTATGCATAGTTTTATTTGAAAAACATAGTTTTGAAAGTGTTGTTGGTGGAATAATACAATAGCAATTTATCAAGTTATTTTCACTCACATCACTATAAGGGAATTTAAGGTGAACATTAACCTAATTTTTTAACCTCAAAATATTCATACGAACATAAGTTCAATATAATATATTCAAAAAAAGATACATCCCAGCCAAACATACGAGTTTGTTTACCAAAAACCTAAAGTAATATATTTTGTTCTCTAAAATACATCAATATCACCACAACAAATACATCATTAACAACAATAAAAGAAGTGCTACAATTACAAAATCAAATAAGAGTAACATCTTCACGAGAAATCTCAAGTCTTCGATATCATTATTCATTGTATCATCAAATATAATTATCTTATCATCACATCTCTCCATTATTGCATCGCTCCGTTTATCTGTTCATTGAAAAAATTTGCAATCTTTATTTGTTAGATTTTTCAGACTTCTGTATAATTTTAGGCTAGCATTGTCAACTTTCTAGTTAACTTAAAAAACATATATGTAGCTGTCTGAAACAACACTGACTGATTTCATAATTTTTCACATAGATGTGCATAGATAAATATATGGATATGTCCAATTAATTTTCTTTCAACATTTCGAATCTCGAATATATGGATATGTCCAATTAATTTTCTTTCAACAGTTCGAATCTCGAAATCTCAAAATCTCAAAATCTCAAAATGAGAGATGCATTTCTCATTTCCATTTCTTAAGAATAAAATCCGTGAAGTAAGCATACATATCAATAACTATGTAAAGAAGAACCCAGGTATTGTTGCCAAACATGCATCTATAATTCCAATACCTTAATAAAGATTTAAAGTAAAGAAATTGAAGCATTGTAAAAATAATTCTCTCTGATCCATACATGAGAGTATAATAAAATAAATACTTCATTCAACCAAATTTGAGTATACTAAACTGATGCATTATAAAAAAGAATTCAAATGATACTAAACAGAAACTCTCATTCCACAAAATTCTATGGATAAATAACAGTCTAAAACAATTACTCATTCACATCATCATTTTACATACAATGAATGTTCTAGCGCAAAGTCAACTGATCTCATTTTTTCATATACACACAAATTCTTTAAGAATTCATTTGTGTAGCAAGTTATCAGGTACCAGAGAATAACAAAAAAAAATCCATTTATGTAAAGAAGAAATAAGCAAATCAATAAAATTTCATGAGGTTCAACACAACAAGTTCATAAATGACACAACCCGTAATTACGCAGTAATTTAATTTTCAAAAAATCTCCAAAAACTTAACCCAATTTATATTTAGCGGCAAGTGTGCAAAATTGATATATTATAAAATTTAGAATTTTTTATTAATAGTTTACAAACTAGGGGTACTACACAAATATACGTATCGTTTCAAGTAATATAGGGATTTCTTTAAAAATCCTAGTATCAATCCCACAGAACAAATATACGTATCGTTTCAAGTAATATAGGGATTTTTTTAAAAATCCTAGTATCAATCCCACAGAGAAGTGAGGTAAGAAATCCCTTAGGCTAATTTTAGTATACTTCTACCAGGTCTTAGTTTGGAATTTTTGAAAAGTTTGATTTTTCTAAATTTACTAATTTACTATAAAATTAAAGTTAATTAAATTAACTAAAAAAGTACATTTAGGGAGACTAGATAAATTTTGGAAAGTTCTTATAAAATCAAAATCTATTTCCCCTTGCAATGAAAGCATAAACACATTAGAAATTGAATGCATAAAAATGTGGTTTTGTGACAAATAGGAGTATACATATTCTTTAACCTCCTTCTGAGCATAAAGAACATTGGCTTATATAAAGTTAGTTCTAGCTTGTGTGGTAGTCTTGAGTAGATTCTTGTCTCTCACTTCTAAATTACCCTCTGTGTCCTCTCTATAGGACTTACCAAGGGCCCTTAATTCAAACATTAGACCAAATTGGTAAAGGATCTAGCTTGTGACCCTAGAAACACTAATTTTACGCCTATCAAAATTTATCTCCTTATCTATTTGCACTAATCACTGGACTGATTCGGCCTCCCATCCTAAAGGTTAGCGTGGTATCATAAGTTGGGTGAAATCATCGCCCTCCCAGATCATTATGTTTTGCAACGAATTTTAACCTCACAAGTGATAGTTTGTAAAGTAAATTAATAATTGGTGAAAATACCATCACAAGCTTTGTAATAAAAGAAATTTTTAAAACATTCTAACCCCATACATGATTAAATCTCATCATAAGAAGAAATAATGAGAACTACTCACTTAGCATGAAGAAAACACAACAAAAAACTTCGTTTAAATTAAAGAAAATTCACTAGAAAAGTGTTTACAATAATTAAAGATAATAAAGAACACAATACTTAGATTTTTTTCTCTAAGAGAAAGACAAAAATCTCTGTAAGAAATTCTCCTGCTGATCCACACAAAGTGCCTATAACTTCTTTCAGATATTTCTTAAAATCCCTCACAAATCTCTCCAAAAAAGGTAGAAATCTACATTCCTACTTCTATTTGTCGGCCGCTAAAAATTTATTTGAGATTCAAGATGTAAGATGTGGTTTTGATTTAATTAAATATACATGTAAATTTGATTTTTAGAAAAAATAGTATTTTAATTTTAAAAATTAATGCTTTAATTTTGAACATACGAGACTGAACTGATCCCATATATAAAATAGTTTAAATAAACAAGCAGACCACCGTAAATAATGCATCTACCCTGAGGAGTGGACACATCGCTTGTTAATGAGGTTTGATTAAATAAACAAAAGAATTTATGACATATGTTTAGTCTGCGAACCATTTTTTGATATAAGCCGACAAGTTCTTTTATCTAATATGAAAGATTAGATAGGGTCCTTGCATCATAATGTTGGTACTAACCATGGTTTTATGAATAAAAGTTTAGCTTATTTGTGGCATAAACATTTGAGTTATATATCTAAAGAAAGAATTGAAAAATTAATAAAGAATGACATCTTTAATGATTTGGATTTCACTGATCTTAACATCTGTGTAGATTGTATTAAGGAAAAACCCACAAAAGACACACTTAAGAAAGCTGCCACAAGAAGCACACAACACCTTGAAAAAATGTACACTGATGTTTGTGAACCTTTTAATATTCCATATTTTGGCGGAGAAATTTTGGCGGTGAAAAATATTTTATCACCTTTATTGATGACTTTTCACGTTATGGATATGTTTACTTATTGCATGAAAAATATCAATCACTAGAAGGCTTTATAACTGAGGTTGAGAGACAATTAGACAGAAAAATGAAAATCATCAGGTCTGATAGAAGTGAATATTATGGAAGGTACAATGAATTTGGACAATGTCCAGGTCCATTTGCTAAATTCTTTCAAACTAATGTCATATGTGCTCAATACATTATGTCAGAACCACCACAACAAAATAATCATGTAGAAAGACGAAACCGTACTCTGATGGAAATGGTTAGAAGTATGATAAGCAATCCTTCTTTACCCCTATCATTGTTGATGCATACTTTAAAGACCACTGAATATTTGTTAAATAAGATTCCTAGTAAGGTAGTTCCAAAAACTTCATTTGAACTGTGGATAAGAAATAAACCTAGTTTAAGACACCTACATGTTTGAGGTTGCTCGACAGAAAAAAGGATGTATAATTCACATGAAAAGAAACTAGACTAAAGAACAATCAATAGTTTTATCATTGGTTATCTAGAAAAATTGAAATGACATATATTTTTATTGCCCTCACCATAATACAAGAATTATTGAAGTTAGAAATGCTAAGTTAATTGAAAATGATGAAATTAATGAGAGTTTGGAATCATGTAAAGTAGAAATCCAATAAATTAGGGTCCAAGTTTCTTTACCTGAAATTTCTTCTCAAGTTGTTATTTCTACAGTTGTTGAACAATCTAACAATTTGCAGGAATAATAGATAAATGATCAAACGTCTCATAATGAAACTGTCATTAATGAACCTACATTAGATGAACCAAATGAAGTTGTACCTAGAATGTCTGCTACTTCTAATGATTATGCGGTTTATCTACATTAGCATGAATTTAACTTGAGAGTCAATAAAGATCCAGTTTCATTTTCACATAATATAAAATATGTAAATTCTTCTAAATGGTTAAATACAATGAAAGATGAGTTGAAATTGGTGGATCATAGCAAAGTCTAAGATGTCATTGAATTGCCTAAAGTTTGTAAAAGAGTTGGGTGTAAATAGGTCTTTAAGACTAAGCGCGACTCGAATGACAATATTGAACGATATAAAACTAAACTTGTTGCAAAATGTTTCACACAAAAAGATTGCATCGGCTATAAAAAAGAAACATTTTCTCTAGTTTCTAAGAAATATTCATTTAGAATTATCATTACACTAGTAGTTCATTATGATTTGGAGTCACACCAAATGGATGTAAAAACTGCCTTTCTGAATGGAAATTTAGATGAAGATGTCTACATGAGTCAACCTGAATGATTTTCAGTTGAAGGAAATAAACACATGGTATGTAAACTTAGAAATCAATATACAAACATAAGAAAGCTTCCCGACAATAGTATCTTAAGTTCAATGATATCATCACTTCCTTTGGATTTAAAGAAAATAGTGTTGATCGGTGTAGATATCTGACGTTCAGTGGGAGCAAGATCATATTTTTCATTCTGTATGTTGATGATATCTTGCTGACCACTAATGATGCTGGCTTATTGTGTGAAACTAAAAACTTTCTCTCTAAGAACTTTGAAATTAAAGATATGGACGAGACATCATATGTGATTGAAATTGAAATATTTCATGAAAGATCACAAGGATTGTTAGGACTGTCTCATAAAGCATATATCGATAGAGTTTTTAGGAGATTCAATATGGAATGATGCTTTGCAAGTGTTACTCCAATTCAAAAAAAAGATAAATTTAGCCTTATGCGGTATCCAAAAAATGATTTGGAACTTAAACAAATGAAAGAAATTTCTTATGCATCTATTGTTGTAAGCTTAATGTACGCTCAGACTTGTACTAGGCCAGACATTAGCTTTGTTATCGGGATGCTAGGCAGGTATCAAAGTAATCCAATAATAGATCATTGGTAAGCTGCAAAGAAAGTTTTGAAGTACTTGTAAAAAACAAAGGACAACATGCTCACTAATAGAAGATCAAATGATCTTGAAGTGATAGGATATTCAGATTCAAATTTTACTGGTTGTGTTGATACCAAAAAATCAACATTTGACTATTTGCTCCTTTTGACTGAAGAAATAATCTCATGAAAAAGGCAGTCTATCTTCATTGCATCCACTATGAAAGTTGATTTGTGTCATGCTTCAAAGTTACAATTCAAGACTTATGGTTGCGGGATTTTATTTCAGGACTTGAAATTGTTGACAACATTGTCAAGCCGCTGAAAATTTACTGTGATAACTCTGTGATAATCTTCTTTTCTAAAAACAACAGGTGACTAAAGGAGCTAAACACATGGAATTACAGTACCTTGCCGTTAAAGAGGAAGTTCATAAACATTGTGTGTCAAACGAGCATATTAGCACCGATCTTATGATTGTGGATCCATTGACGAAAGGGTTGCCACCACTGACATTTAACGAATATGTTGTGATAATGGATATTACCGAAACTGATTATTAATTATATATTTAGTGCTATTTATGTTTGACACTTTGAGCTCAGTTTATTATTGTTTCTGATATTTATGTATCTTGTTTTTTTTTGCTAGCGTACAATTTATGTTGTGTAACAAGATTTGTCTTTTAATATACATTATGAGATCATGATGTTATTTCTCATTATATTAAGTATATAATTGATATTATGATACATGGAATGAACTATGTCCATAAATGAATGCACAACCGCCATGATTCCTATCAATTTCGTACTTATTGATGATTTATGATTTGATCAATATAAAAAAGAAATATACCTTACATTTTGTGCAATATTTTATGCATTGTTAAGTATTATGTGGACCAAGTGGGAGAATGTTAGTTTTTCATTATTTGTGCGGCCCATCCTCATTTATTTTAATAATACCAAGTGGGAGAATGTTAGTTTTTCATTATTTGTGTGGCCCATCCTCATTCATTTTAATAATATTAATTAATTAATTAATTAATTAAAGAGAAAATGGTCATGTCTCTTCCTAATAGACATCATATCATTTCGCTTTAATTAATTAATTAATCCTATTGGTCAATATTCACCATGATAATTGGTGGTTAATAATGGACAATTAAGAGAAAAATTGTATTTCTTTCAAGAAAATTATCTTTTCTGTGGTAAATACAAGAAATGTCATATCTATTCACAAGAGACTTATCTTTTCTCTGATAAATAAGAGAATAGTCCTCTCTCTTCCAAGATGTAATGTATCTTTTGCTCCATTAGAAAACACAGAAAATAATAATAATTAGAGAGAGAAATTTCATCACTTAAATCGAATTCTACAAACATTAATACTGATATGTATATCTCATTTATGGGTATGTGAAAATCATGAATTCAAATATCTTGATCATTATGAATTTTATGAATTTAGGTCAATCATGAATTCAAATATCTTGGTCATTATGAATTTTATGAATTTAGGTCATGAAATTAGATTTTATGAATTTAAAAATCTTAACAAAAACAAATCAAGTTCTTCGATGAGCAGTTCTTATTGAGAGTTAAAGCATATTAATCGAATATTCAACCAACAAAAAAAAAAAAGTTCAATGCACCCCTATTATTGCTTATTTCAATAATCAATTAGGCATACCTATTATTGCTTGGCTAGAAGGGAAATAGGTGTGTCATATTAACAAGGGACATTTACATATATGCCATCCAATTCATATGCATCAACGTCACACTTAAATTTTATTTTTTACATTTATATGACTCAAATCTTCCATACCACAATCAGAGGACAAATACCACCATTTTGTAAAAATTTAAGTTATGCGGTTAGATTTGTAAATACATAAACTCCAGTGGCAAGTAAGTAAATCTTCATCAAAAAATACAAATAAAACAAATGTGCTTCTTCTTGCGCTCGCAGTAGGGTTTCACGATCCTTTGCCGCCCATCAAGGTTCGAGTCATGCCGTTTTACCGTCGGCATCTCATCCACTGTCTCCGATCGACTGTCTGCGAAGCCAACATATCCGCCAAATCGCGGCCCGCTGTCCTCTTTTTTCTGCCCCGCTACTTCGCCTTCTCCTCCCTTGAAGAGGCCGCAGCGGAGCGCCGCCGTCGTAAGCGCCAACTTCGAATCGAGCCCCCCATCCACCGTGACTCCGGTGCCTCCCGCTCCACCCGTAATTCCAACACCCTCCGCCTCCCCGATGCCACCGCCGCCCTCGTAGGCCCCCGCCTCAGCCTCCATAACCGCATTCAAACCCTTATCCGCGCCGGTGACCTCGATGCTGCCTCCGTCCAAGCCCGCCACGCCATCTTTTCTCCTATAAAACCCACTGTATTCACCTGCAACGCTGTCATGTCTTCCATGCTACGCGCCAGCCGCTTCGGCGATGTCTTCGCCCTCTTCCACTTCTTCTTCACCCAGCAAAACATCATCCCCAACATAGTATCCTACAACATCCTCATCAATGCCCACTGCGACGCCGGCCAAGTGAATACAGCTCTCGACGTCTACCGTCAAATCCTCCATAATGCCCCCTTCACCCCATCAACTTACACCTACCGCTACCTCATCAAAGGCCTAGTGGACTCCAGCCGCATTGCCGACGCTGTCAGCCTACTTCGAGAAATGCTCAACCGTGGGCATTCCGCGGATACTCTGGTTTACGACATCGTAATCGCAGGTTTCATCGCGCTCAATGACATGGAAAAGGCTATCGAGCTATTCGACGAGCTCCGAGAGCGGTGTCAAGTCTACGATGGGGTTGTTCATGCCACTTTGATGAAGGGATACTGGAAGCTTGGGATGGACAAGGAAGCTATGGAGTGCTACCAGTCGTTGCTGGACCGCCAGTTTAGGATGCATCCTGCTACCTGTAATGTTCTCTTAGAGACGCTTCTCATGCATGACAAGGTCACAGAAGCCGAACAACTCTTCGATCAAATGCTGGATGAACACAAGCCCCCTGTTTTTATGGGAATAAATGCAGAAAGTTACAGTATAATGATAAACCATTGCTTTAACAAAGGGAAGTTTGCAGAGGCCATTGAAACTTTCAACACTACGGGTTTGAAACCCCTGCCGAAGGATCTAGGACGCTACAATCACATCATTGGGAAGCTCTGCGAGAATGGAATGGTACAAGATGCAGTAAAGCTGTTCGAGGAAATGCTGAGCCAGTCCGTTGAACCTGATGCTGCCACATATGGCTTCATCATCGATGCATACTTTAGAGATTGTAGGTTTGAGGATGCTATGGTGTTTTTTGACAAGTTAGTGAATGGTGGAGATGGTTCATTAAAGGCTGCTCTGGAAATATGCAACAAAATGGTTAATGAATTGGTGAAGGCAGGATGTTTGGTTCAGGCTTTGGAGGTTGTTAGGAAGATGGGGGTGAGTGGTACAAGGCCGAGCATGGCGACCTATGAGGTTTTGATCACTGGGTTATGCAAAGAAGGGGACTTTGACAGTGTTCTGGCTTTGTTTGAAGAGATGGTGAAGTGTGGTATTCTTGTGAGTATTGAACTCCAATCGTTTGTATCTGAGAGTTTTGAGAAGGCAGGCCGCAGTTTAGATATTGAATTGCTCCTTGCTTCTTGTGCTGCTGCTGCTCCTCGAGCTATTTCTGCTCAGTGCGTGGAGGGTAAAGTTGTTCCTAGACCCACCTCCTCCCAGCAGGTTGTTGGTGGCATTTTTGCTCCTTCGGTTAACTTACAGGCAGCAGCTTGATGTTTTCCTTTTTTTCTTCTTTTTGTTCTATCTTTCCTTAAAAATTAGGCACGCCATGAATTTTGAATGTTTATAGGAAATTTATTCAGGGGAAATTTTTTCTCTTAAAATTTGTGTTTAACATTGCGTTACTGCAGAATAATATTTATTATATTTGCTCGTCTCTAAGTGTTTATTTTGAATGTTTATAGGAAATTTATTCAGGGGAAAATTTCTCTCTTAAAATTTGTGTTTAACATTGCATTACGGCAGGATAATATTTATTATGTTTGCTCGTCTCTAAGTGTTTAACCTGCTGTGCAGTACATTCTTCAGTTCTTCAGAGGAACCTCTATTATTTGTGGGTAATTCTGTAGATCTTTTTGTATGTTTTATATCCCCAACTATGTATTCTATTTTAAATGATTAGGATTGAATTTATCAAAATCATTTGGATGGAATATTTAATTTTAATTATGTAAAATGGAATGAATCAAATGTCTCTGTAAAGGATAAGCGTACATATCAACTGGCATCTTATCACGCATTAGCTTTTAGAGGGTCATTTAGTTATCTTCTCAGGTCGGATGAGGTCATCCGAAGAATAAACTTTTAAGAAAGACATAGAATGACCATGATGCCCTTATAATGAGAAAAAAACATACAGTACAATGCAAAGCCTTAAATTAAACAGCATAATCATAATCTGTATTACTTAAGGTTGTTAAATTATACTACATTGCCTCCCCAACTTCTATGAGGATGATGATCTAAACCTTCCGCAATTTCATCTTTAACTTTTATGGTCACCCCGCATGCCGCATTTATCTTACACCATTTCCCACTTACAGATGGAACGCCATGCTAACTGTCTGTCTTCAGCCATCCATTGTTGCATCTTCATCTCTGGAGGATGAACATAATTATCTAGTCACCTTCATGGCCTTCATGTATCACCTCCATAGTCTGTGTTGTGTCTATCCAAAAAAAAAAGAATTGAATTTCCTGATTCACTTGTCTTTTCCATATTGCTTTGGCCGCTGACTTTATAATTGTTTTGTCTCTGTGACCAAATGGAGGACCATATAATTACCCATCAGTCATTGCTATTAGCTATTGCTATCTTCGATGTCACCTATCCTACTATAACTGTTGTCGCATCTTCTGTTGTTATCTTCATGCTGTATTTGCCACCGCTGTTCTCATCTCTGCTGCTACCCCTTGTGTTACAATTCGT